TAGCCCATGCGAAGAAAAGACATAAGTTTTGCAGTGGGCGGCTATCTGCGACTGTTTTTGTACTAGACGATGTATAAATATTATTATACACACACAATAGAGTTTTTAGAGTTTTCGCTTCAAATTTGGCCAAAAAAAGAATTTGGTTTTGTAAAGAAGATACGAGAATTAAAAAAAAACGAATGGATGAAATACAACTTGGGATTAAACGCAATTTTTCTTCAACCCTTTTATAAATAACACAATTTTTGAGGGTTTCTTTCTTTACAATGATCAACAAATTCAAGGAATTATTTTTGTGAAATATTTGAATATAGATGGCATCATTTGACTCAACACGAGAGCATAGTTTAGGATTCGGCAACTGTGCACTTCAAGTCGCTACCTTAAACACTGCCAAAGATTTCTTTGATTCACTTTACAATGATAAAAAAAATGCATGAAATTATGCTTTAGATACCACGGCATGTGGGCGCTTTATTTGGCTTCGACACCTGCAATAATGATGGGACACCCTGTATGTACATTACAATTTTTATTTTAACGTTTAATAAGGATGTTTTTTTGGAGATGCAATGCCGATCATGTTATTTCATTTCGAAGTCAACTTTGTTTTGTATCAAAATGACTAATGTTGTTAATTTTGTTTAAATAACCGTCTGTATTTTGTTAAACAAATTAATTTAAATTGTGTGTCAAAAGATTAGATTTAAACATCAGGGAAAATTTGGGTAGCTATTGTAAAAGTTAACTCCGGTCTTCTGCGATAAGTCGTTATCGCTGCGTACGCTAATTAAATTTCCAGATAAGGAGTTAAATAGAAGGAACGGGCGTTAAACGAGGCCTTTCGTTTTTCGCTTGTTGCCTTTTGCGTTTGTTTAATCGTTACCCCTTTTCCCTATTTTTATATTAAGCTGACTTAAAACACCTACTTTAGTGGAAAGCAATGGCGGAGATACTACGTTAATTTGCATTGCTTCGCCAAATCTAAAGTGATCTACAAAACACATTGATACCGCAGAAATTTACTCGTCTCTCTCTCTCTCTCGAAGGAACTTAACCCGCAGCGTAAGATATGAAACCTTCTATACATCTTTTTATCACGTAAAACTATATCATTTCCCAGAAACACATACAATTTAAAACAAAGACGTCTGGACAATATGAAGAAGACGGATTCGGATTCCAATCGACAAAATAAAAACTTAAACGTGACATTACGAATATTTGTTTGGTGGAATGTGACTGAAACCTTGATCTGTTTGTTTGTAAACTTGAAAACTCTTCCTTCCGCATATTTTAATGGAATAAAAACACAATATTTACGTGGAAGATCATTAAATTTTTTTCTAAAGTTGTTCCAGTATAGTACTTTATTTTTAATACTAGGGAAGGAAATTTGATCCATACATAAATTCGGTGCTTTATCAAAATCTGCCTCTAATCAATTCAATGGCTTGATCTAAGAGTAAGTTATGTCTACTTACAATTCACTCATTCCATTAGTAATTTTCAAGGCCTCCTAAGAAATGCATATAACGGTCACAATTTTCGAAAATCTTAAATAAAATGAAAACCATTACAGATAGGTATAGGGAATGTAATATGTGATCGATGTACAACCCTGTAGAATCACGTCAGTATTGTTGATTTTGGAAGATTTTTGGAAATCAACGGAGCCATAGGTACAGGGCGCTAAAGAAAAGCAGTCAAACGTAAAAAATGTTGAACAATCTTGAATAGCTTGAAAACCTTTGATGCTAGGTATAGGGAAATGTGGTATTAAACGACGTAGATTTTCATGTAGATTTCGGAAATGCAATAAAATATAGGGTGTTCTATTTAAAATAGGAACGATCATGATAATATTGTCTTTCGATCGATTATGAAAAACTATATTGGTATGCAAATTTTCAGATTTAAATTATCAATAGTCGAAACATGTGCTGATGTCTCTTCCTTTTTTTACAGTTAATTAAATTGTATAATGTATGGGAACGGTTTCGAGTCCGTTTGTTCTAACTTTACTTACAAATTAATACGTACGACTTACTAATTACTTAAGGTGGCGTTTACAAAAAGTGCAAAAGTTGCCTTGCGATTTCCTCAATAACTTTGTTTCGAGGTAAAAAAATTAACTTCTGTTAACGACCGAAGGTTTAAGCTTGTGAAGTTAAATTTGATAACAAATTTTTATCAGTGTATGATAAAAATGAAAGATATATATTTTATATGGGAGTTTTTTAAGAACTTCAACGGGGAAAGTAGAGGAATTGGATAAATAATTTTTGTTTCATATTTGAATGAATGTTATTTCAACCAAAAATTTATACCCAGAAGGAAGTTCTGTGGAAACAAACTTCCACTTTTCCAATGTAAACGCCACCTTAAAGATTAACCGTTTCTCTATGTTCTGGGACATTCGTGAAGTTAGCCCCCGGGCGTATTTTGGACTGTAAGTTCTAATAAAGTGACTTACAAATTTTGAGATGATGATTACAAATTGTTACAAATCACTTACTAAATATTGGTTAAAATAAAAATATTGTTTGTAGTGCGGATCTTGGTCTTGAGAAGTTAGCCGCTCAATATTTTTTTGAAGTTTAAGAGATACCGTTTGATTATGAATTTTGCCAACTTGAATGCAAATTCTTACAAACGACTTACTAATTAATGACGGTACTAAAATTTTGATATTGGAAGATAATGGGGCTGCCGAGAATTTAGCCGCAAAATTGAATTTTTTTATATAAATTCAGCTTGCGAATACTTCCTAATAACTTACTAATTAGTAAGCTACAAATTAAATATAAATTCGGAATTTGAGGGGCTAACTTCGTGGACATCGCAAAAGGTCATTATAGTGGGAGGGCGCCAGTACGGTAATGTCTTCACAATTAAAAAACAAGTTGTAAATCAGCATATACATGATTAAAGCGCATTTTTGGTAATACAGATCAGTATTTTATTAGCGAAGTTTAAAATTATCGATCTCACGAGTAATTTTGGCTGAGTTTTATTTAATTTCAATTGAGGGTACGTCTTTATTTTGTAAAACAAATCATTTTTTGTAAAACAAATTATTTGCTTAAATTATCGATCTCACAAGTAATCTAACTCAAAATAGGCTAGAGCCTGCACATCTACACTATAGCAGAAAGCTTTTAGTGAACATTTGAAGTCTGTAGTTGCTGAGATCTCACCCGGACAGCCGGCCAGCCAGCCATAACGAATATAATAGCGTATTTTTTTCAAAAATGCGCTAAAAAGACAACCTTAACCAATACTTAAAGGTTGGTGAAATTGTACAATGACTTTAAAACAACAAGAAATTGATCAAGTTAACAGCAGTGTAAAACCAAGGAACTTGAGCAAGAAATTGTTCAATAAATTGACAAATAACTTCATGAAGTAATTGATGTAAAGCTAGCTTTATATATTATTAATTTATAAGTAGCAATCCATCAAAAACCGATTTTTTTAAAGATGCTGTCTTGAATTGAATAATGAAATTAATGAGCATCCTGTATAAAGCAAATTAAATCATCTGTCGCAGATATTAGCAATACACTAAGTCCATGGAATCATAAGGACCAGTCACCAGACGGCGACATAGCATATCGGTTTTTAAATTTTGTTGAATTAATTTTGTTTACCAGGATCATATTTTGCAACGTTTACAGTCTGCAAAAGCCCATGAACTGTAGTAGATAATAAAATAAGTAAAAAATAGTCCACGCTCAGCTTTTCTTTGCTTACGACGCAAAGTTGGTTTATTTCAATTTTCATTTTACCTGGGATGTTTGTGATGCAACGTACATACGAATACTCTCCCAGTGGGAAAAAGATTTTCATAATCAAATTTGCAGAGTGCCGACTGACTGAAGTTTTGTTATCTACGCGTTAGGTGGGGAGGCGCTACCCCCAATCAATTCGGCCGTGAATAAAGTGCTTTTATTCATCTGAAATCTTAAATATAAAATTGCATGATCCACCGACCTTATCCCACAATCGAAATTTGATCCTTGCCGTTGTCCCATTTTATTGCACGGAAATATGGATAAACTGCCGGCATGTAGTACGATCTTTGTTGCTGGCGGGAATTCTCCTGACTAGGGCTAAAGAAAGCCATAAGGCTAGTTAACGTGAAACTATTTCGTCTAGTTCCTTGTTTGGGGGATTGGGAGTTTCTGTTCTAAATGCACTCTCCACGCTGGTATTCCTTAGGGGTCATCCAGTGCATATTTGAAACACGGGATTAAATTGATATGGCATCATGGTATTCCCTTTAGATTTCCACGAAAACTTAGACGCAAAAGCATAGTATTTCAAAACATTGTAGTCCAAGTTTTAGACAGTTAGATTGTTCAGCTTCATTTTGAACGTGTAAAGTTATCATAATACCGCACGCGATTGAGATAGCATTGTACGCAAAGTTAGCTTCCAGGTGATGACGTGTTTCATTGATCTTTCATTATTATACACCAATTTTCCTTAAGTTTTGGTACCACTTACGTAATTGCGATTGATTATATCAATTATGTTTCCTTCTAAAAATAAAATTAGGTAGATTGCCATACGAGTATATCGATACAAATTAATTTTTACTAACTGTTCAGTAAATTAACGTTGAATGCATTGTGTATTTCCTATATGCTTATCAGTTTTCTTCCTATATTTTAATGTGTGCAAGTTTTAGAAACAAGGAAGAGGTGATTCTGGCGTAAATATTGTGTTGCGTACGTTTTGGTGAACGTATAGAAAGATCCAAAAATGAAATTCACTCAATTCCCATGTTTTGGGACCACCTGTATAATAGTCTGCTGTGGTATTTCAGCAACAATAAGGGTTCTCACAATAGAATTGAAAAAAATAGTGTAACCTTATCGCCATCTCCCCGCATTAACCGGCATTTGATAACCGAGACAAAATATATTTATTCGATTATCAGCCCAATGCGCCAAAGAAGCTGTTTTTAATTTTGCATAACAATAGTAACTAAACCAGCAGCCTTGAGTATTGGTCGTTCACTCACTACGCACGAGCGATATATCCAGACATCCTTCAGTAGAAGTTTTAGTGAGTTTACGCAACGCAATACGTCTTCTTTAACATGCCATTTTCAAAATCGGCACTTACTGATCAAGGTACTTTACTAACTGTCCATCAAGTGCACTGTAAATTGTTTTTTTAGCACAATCGAATGCAAGAGACTATGAGAGGAGTTTTGATGACGAATCCAATTATACCATTGTTATTCTTGGAGCCTCAGTAAGTTACTCTATTTTATATATTTTAATTAATAACGGGCGCAGATTTTATTCTTTAAGTTTGGAAACCCTCCTTTTCATCTCACGAATATCTTATCGTACCACTACCAATCAATGCAGATTGTTGAATACCTTGAAGTATGAATGAAAGAGATTATTGTAAATATTTACGTAGCTTACTCAAAAGCTTAATAGACCATTTGTTTAAAAATGAAATAGAACCGGTATTCATGCTTACCGCGGAATAGTTCCCCCCTGCTCTGATTCATCCACCAGGGTGTCAAATTCGAAGGTGAATTTTGAGATTTCGGAAATCGGGAAGTTGGGTGGCAGAGAAGCCCAGTTCTTTGTATTAATATTTGGGTCCGAATCCACTGTTACTTAGACAGTGATGAAATTGCGAATATATCTACTTTCAAAGCACCGGAAAAACAGAAATTTGCTATTTCTTGTATTTTCTGTGACTTCATTTGGAAAGATTGTTGAAAACAAATGAGATGAGAGATTTTAAGTTTGACGTTTCGGTTTTTCATCAACTTTATTTTTTAAAATACAAACTTGCGTTTTGTATTTCATACCTAGATAGTGCTCGTCATTTTATTTATTTATTTATTGAAATAAACAGGCCTGGGCGTAGTTACATATTTCCCTTACACATACATGAAACGAAAACGTTTGTTGTGTGGATGCGCGTGAGGGTGTGTGAGGGTGAGGGTGAGTGTGTGCGTGTTGGAAAGTAAACAAAATAATCGTCAGCGACATAGAATGTTTTTTTTAAAGTGCATATAGTTTCTGAAGAACAACGGAATTTGCAAACTTTGACTCAGTTCATTATATGTGATTTGCATTTTAACTATGGGGGAGTTACGTCTCTTGTTGGTGTAATTTAAATTTTGAAGAAATAGATGTAACACACACGCTAGTGGCTAACGCTTCCACCCTGAAACTGGTCTATGAAAAAAAAGCATTAAGGGCAAACTATCTTGAAATATTACAATTTCAGCCACTGTTTACTGTTGGTTCTAATCATACTGTAGCAAAAAAAGATGCAACTGATAATGAACACACGTACTAAATATCGAAAATACAACATTTCTTGATTTTGTAAAAGGAGTCACAATCTAGCCTAGAATCAGCAAATTTTCAAATCAAAAGCTCTTTGCTTCAATGCATTTAGCGCTAATCCTTTGCAATTTTAGTATTGCACTCGACCCCGCACGTTGAATGAATGAATTAATTACCAAATACGTCAAAATGGACATTGGTGCAGACGATTGAGTCACGCGGCGCCCAGGGTGGACAGGGCATGAATTTAACGTAATATTTTTACCACCTTTTTTACGGAAATATACGTTTGGAAGCACCCGGAATCCGAATCAAACAAAATCTCGATGATATCAGTCTGTCGGTACGTCTGTACTCTCATTTCCGCCTAAACGGCTGAACCGATTGAAATCAAATTTGGTACACAGTAGTATTACGATAATTCATATCACCATCTCAAAGGGCGTCCCGTGAAGTAGGCAGTTTATCACAAAGATTTTGTGATTTGATTTTTTCATCTAACAGAGGCCAGTCGGCCAATGATTGTAGGCACCTAAAATGCGGTGTCACTTGCTAATATAATTGTCTGGACACATTTTTATGACACTGTATGCCATCTTGGCAGAAACTAAGATTTACAGAAAACTACAAACTTCTATAACCAGTTTCCAATGCCAAAACAGAATATTATTATATTCACACAAAAAACAAATATTTTAACACTTAGGGCATGTTATTAAATATAAAACGTAGAGGATTGCAATTGGACATCGTGAAAGAACAAGTACCTAAAAGTAAGTGACATTTTGTTTCTATTTTCGTCTGTGTTGTTTGATGAGCACTAAATTTTTTGTTAGTTTAGGCAAACCGAATACTTATTTGCAAAATTTTAAAGGATGTGGGGTGGATAAACATTTTTTTTTTACAAAAAATGCGACTTCATAATTTTCTGCAGGTGAGAATGACATAAATTTGTCGTCGCTCTATTTTATAAAGGAGAAACCCCCTTTAATCAATGGTCTCAAAATAAATGAATCATACAATACATATTGTAACGTAAATTTAATTATAGTTGTTTATTTACAATTTTAACAATAAATTTATAAAAGTCTTGAAATGAATTGATTTATAACAGTTGAACTATTATTTATCAACACATACAGGGTGTAGAAACGGTTTACGCATACCATAGGGATTTCAATGGTAATTGTTTTATGTTGAAATATTTTCTCCCCTAATTATTTTACAGAAAAGTTGCAAATATATGTTTTGTAGATTGCTGCATCTATTCATATGCCCATTTGTAATTTTTTGTTGTGGGAAATCGGAGAAATTAAGGAAATTAGAAGTTATAATTAGAAATCGAATCTTTGTTGCAATAATTTCACGGCAAGAGTAAATTTATTGAGACAAAAATTGGATTTTTAAGCAAATACTAAATTCTATTATTTAATTTTTCCGGTTTGCCGAATTGAAAAATAATAAATGCGGACATTTAGCAGACGCAGAATTTTTCAAGCCACAAGAAACCTATTTACAAATATTTCGATATAAATTAGCATTAAAGCCCCCATGGTGCGTAAACCGTTTCTATACACAATTTATAACTATTTATTACTTCGGCGTTGAAATTGGAACTGTATTGAAACACAATTATATTATAGAAAACTCGAGTTTTCCCCGAGTTTTTCGACGATAACGGCTCAAGGGGTGTTTAGACATCAATGCTGCTTTGAAAAGTGAAATTAAATTCAAGCAGGAGGATTTCCTTTACAACTTTCATAATAAGAGTCGGCTGATAAACCTGCTGTAGATACAGCTACAGAAAAATGGGATAAATGATGTGAAGGCAGGTATCAATAGATCACAAAATTAGTCGGTAGCTGGTGTGGGAGAGAACGTTGACTTTCATGTTCTCTTGGTAGCCAAAACCCCAAATGATCGTGCGATTCTGCTGGTAAAATCTGGAAGAAGAAAGCATATGTTATCCTTACATGCACTCCCACTCAGCCAGCTGCAAACATGATCTTTCAATTCTCCCTCCAACTAAAGGAACAGTTAATCAGCATGCGTTTCTAAATACAGTTGCGGTTAAGGCACAAATCTAATGGCGCCGAATTAGGGTTGGAAGAGGAGGAATAACCAACTCTAAGAGTTGAAAGCCGTCCCCGACGAAATCTTGAAGATGATTTTTTGCCAATACACGAAAGGAGGTTTTTGTCCGTGAAAGAAATTGGAGAGACCTAGAGCCAAATAAGGATCTAAGAGGTTTAAGAAGAAGATATGAAAGTGGCAGATGTGGTTGTAGACAGACATCGTTAAGCTGCTCTATCGGAGTTACAAGGGCATTTGATATCGAAACAATCAATCCATGTAAAGACTTTCTGATGAAAGTGCCAATATTATTTTCGGTGGCGGCACGGATATTGGGGGGGGATTTTGCATTTTAAATATTTACCAATCATTCTAGACAACACAGCACAAATTTTAAACTACCGGACCGTTTGTAAGGTAACCCCCCTCTATTCACTGTTTTTAGGAAATGCAATACCGGGATAGCGGGATCCCGAAATACCGGGATCCCGCAGCATTTTTGCGGGATTAATCCCGCACATAAATGGAGCGAGATCCCGCGGGATTTGTAGGACTGAGGAATTTGTCGACCAAGGGGACGACTCTGTTTACTTTGTTAATGAAACGCATAACGGAGAAGTTATTTTTTAAATAATTGTTAAACTTTTTTCGTTAAAATGTACTGAGTTTTGAGGCACTTTAGAAGTTCACGTTTTTGTGCTTTACAGGTGAGGTTTTTGAGCTCTAAGTTAGGCTGAAGATACTTTTTTGTTAAATATTGTGATAATTAGCGATTTATTTTAATACAGAAGTTAACCGCACAGAATTGCTTATTTGGTAATTTGTTTAAAGTTTTGCAGGATCCCGCAAATACCGGGATCCCGCGGGATTAACATCTAACAATCCCGCAAATACCGGGATTGAGATTTTGCTGCGGGATTGCATTCCCTAACTGTTTTATTCGTTTTATTGGTGTCAATATGACAAATGGCAGTACCCATTCTGGTATTGCAAATAAACAAAAAAAAATTGAAACTTTTAAATAAAAGCAAAATTTTGAACTTTTTACCTTCTCTGAAAGTGGCAGTTTTTATTACTTACTACTACTTGATAATGAAGTCATTATTAACCCCTTGTGGCTGGTGTCAAAATTTCACATTTACAAATGTATGCTTCTCTGGTGCTCGAATCATGTGATGATATACTTCTTAACGGTATTAGTTGCATGGTAAACGTTCGTATTTTCAAAATAGTTCGTTGTAAATCCCTTGAAATCCTGCAAATTTTGAATGAATGATAGTTAATACATTTCTGTATCTAAAGGGCGATTTGGCAGGCAAGAAAATTTATCCAACACTGTGGTGGCTGTTCAGAGACAGTTTATTACCGAAGAATGTGACCATATTTGGATATGCACGCAGCAAAACGTCTGTGCTACAACTCAAAACAAAAAACCACAGGTACATGAAAGCGAAACTAAACGAATCTGGACGATACGAGCGATTTTGGCAACGCAATCACTACATCAGTGGACAGTACGGTTCAGAAAGTGACTTCGCATCTCTCAACCAAAAATTAATGGAACACGAAAAGTGTGCATCCAGCAACAGGCTTTTCTATTTAGCACTTCCACCGTCAGTATACGAATCTGCCACAATCCACATACATGCCAAGTGCATGTCCCAGAGGTAGGTTACTTGTACCTCAGCACATCTATTTGTAAACTACCTTTGCAGAGGGTGGACACGCATAGTTGTAGAAAAACCGTTTGGAAAAGACCTACAATCTTCCCAGCAACTGTCCAATCACCTATCGTCACTATTTACAGAAACACAACTATACCGTATCGACCATTACATCCAAAAGGAAATGGTGCAAAACATCTTAGCCATCAGGTGGCGCGTCATCACTCTCCCTACCCCACTTATAATCATGTTGCAGGTTTGCGAATCGAATCTACGCCCCCATCTGGAACAGCGACAACATTGCGTCAGTTGTAATAACATTCAAAGAACCGTTCGGAATAGAGGGGCGCGGAGGCTACTTCGACGAGTACGGAATTATACGCGACATCATGCAAAATCATCTTTTACAAATGCTGACACTTGTAGCCATGGAAAAACCCGTTTCCCAACAGCCGGACGACGTACGAAACGAGAAGGTTAAAGTTTTACGTGCGATCCGGCCACCAACGATTGACGATGTTGTGCTGGGTCAGTATGTTGGAGATCCCAATGGTAGAGGGGAATCTAAGATCGGTTACCTCGAGGATACGACAGTTAATAAGGGATCAATTACACCTACATTTGCGTCCGCTGTCCTACACATTAGAAATGAACGTTGGGAGGGGGTTCCTTTCATTCTTAGAACTGGAAAAGGTAATAAAATGTCTTTCCGATTTTGTCTAAGCTTGAATAACAAAAAAAATCGCGAGTTTGATTTCTCATTTAAATTAGTGACATACATGGAATTAACTTGTCAATTTGCCTTCCAGCACTTGACGAACGGAAGGTGGAGATTCGGGTTCAGTTTAAAGACATTTCCGGTGACATTTTCGGTGGAAAATCCACCAGAAATGAATTAGTTATCCGCATACAGCCGAGTGAAGCGATATACCTAAAGCTCATGATCAAAACGCCTGGAATGTCCAGCGATATAGAGGAAACAGAACTAGATTTGACCTACAGCAGTAGATATCCAGTAAGTCCAACGTTCTTAAGATGGTATACTTACTAAGGTTTTAGGAAGTGAGATTACCGGATGCTTATGAAAGGGTCATCTTGGAGATCATTTCTGGTTCACAAATGAACTTTGTACGTTCGGATGAGTTGCATGAAGCTTGGCGAATCTTCACGCCCTTGCTTCACTACATGGAGAAGGAGAGGGTTGTTCCAATTCCCTATGTGTACGTTCCCATTTGTAGTTGCAGTGTTTGTATATTTTTTTTTGTAGGTTTGGCACTCGTGGTCCCAAGGAAGCGGACGAATTATTGAAGAGAAATCATTTTCGTTACTCTGCCACTTACAAATGGCAACCTCCATCTACGCCAATATAGTAGACTAATTAAAGAAAAGCAATTATTGCATCAGTTTTAACTTTAAGCAGTTTCCCAAAGTTTAAATAAAGTTTTTTTTATTATACCTGAATCACAATCTCCGTTTTAAACACTCAAATGCGTGCGAAAAAGGGCCTTTAAAACACACGTGCTTTAAAGTTGCTAAGTAACGATACTTCAAGTATGACTTTTGAAACTGTCATCTGGATGAAATAAAAAATCCTCTTAGGTCGCTTTCTGTAAATGCAGAACATTTCTTTGGCTTTTGTACCTATCCTTTGGTTGAAGCTTTTACAAACGCGCGTAATTTAGGGTATGCTCCAAATCTGTTCCACTTTTTAATCGCAGCATTGCTTTAAAGTTTTGAATGAGTGCACCAAAATATAGAAGATTTAAATACCTTTGACATTTCCTTCATATATGCCAGCATTATGGATGCATTTAAGACTGTATTCGTAACTTCCTATTCATCATGGAAACAATTTTTCATATTCTTTATAATAGGCTTTACTGGAGTTGGATTTTACACCTACCAACGTTTGTTTAGATTTTACAACAATCGATTTAATGGACGGTGTATTATCTTTTTCAACGGAAATCGTTTAATTCACAAAGACGATGATTTTTTAAGCAAACGTCAAGTGACATTTCCATGGCACTCGTGAAATTACGAACACCCAGCCCACTTAATTAGACATGCATTCGAGTATAACGTCAATATGACTTCATTGTATTTCCTATTTTTAAATTATACTGCAGGTATAATAAAAAATACTATAAGATACAGGTGTATAATTGGTCTTTAAAGCACTTGCAACGTTAAAGGCACTCCGCTTTGCGTCGTGCCCTTAAACTCGTTGCGCGTGCTTTAAAGACTTGATTATACACTTGTATCTTAATATACTATTTTTTAATTGCTGTTTATTATACAACGTTCTTTCTTTAACGTGTGTTAAGGGATACTGACTATGTCAATTCGTGGGGCAGAAATGAATCAGATTAATTCTTGATCAGAAATGGCCGATTTCTTTAATAAGGCACTATTTTAGGACGTTCATTAATTAAAAACGATAGGTAGAGGTTAATCCGGAGGAAATTTTCGGAAGACTATTCGGTTCAGAGGCACCGAATAAACAAGCGATAAGAATTCGGGCTTTGGCTATGGTAGAACTCTAAGCCTAATTGGGATGGTTCACCCCAAGCACGCCATGTATTTGGTGAAATAGGTAAAGTTTTCTTCTTTCGAGCTTTAGGCTGTATTTAGAGCTCAAGCGAAAATCCTTTTTTTTATTCGCGAGTTGGTTGTGAGAGCTGTCCGAATTAGGTTTTCCTGCAGTTTTCCTAATTCATAAGGTAAATGCCGGAGTAGTATAGACCAACTTAAGAACTTCTGCAGAGGCACCTCTAAATAGCATTATGCGGGTCACTCTGTAATTGGGCGCATGCCTGTTGAGGGCCCAAAACAAGAGAGGGATAATAATAATAATAACATCTTTTTCAAGAGGAATTATAAGTGTAAACACGAAATCGCGGTAACCGTGTGCAAGAACCCATAATAAAAAGTTAGATATTTGCGGTTAAAGAACACACACAGCTACATAGTCAATATAATACCCGCGAACATTCATGAGTCGCCCATATTCAAGAGAATCTTGACTAGGCCAACTGCAGTCCTGTTTTAGATCCACAATTCATTGTTAAATCAGGGCAAATTAGAAGGCTACAGGAAGGGTCGTGCCGATTTTTGATGAGACAAGAATCATCAATTCCAATGAATATTATTTAAAAGGTACATTTTTCTTTTATTTTTATACAATTAATAATTGGTTCCTTTTATGAGCTTTGAGTAAAAAGTAAATTTTTCATTGAAATTAATAATTAAAGAAACATTTTTTGTTGGCTAATTAAAGCTTTATGTTATTTTCTAAAAAAATTATTACCTAGGAATCCACTGGCAAGGATCTAGTAGTTTAAGGCTTGATTTGTTTTTGTCGGTGATGATTTCTCTGTATAATGGGTTCAAATTTATTAGTCGTAAGGTGTAGGTATCTTTTTTGTGGTGAAAGCTAAGCGTATTCTAAATTTGTCAGGAAAGAGCGTGGCTACGATTGAGAATTTATCGATTCAGCTTCCAGCTGATAGCTCTAATGCTCAGGTCTTAATTAAGTGTTATTTTTTTTTAAACTAGGATCGATCCCCCTTCATTATTGAGTAAAATTTTGAACGCCCGCAATACTGGATTATTTTCAAAATGGCGATGTCTAAATTTTCATTGGTTAGTGTCTTTCTACTACCAATATCAGATGGTTCTAAAGGTCGATAATCAATGCCACTCACTTCAAAATAAGCTGTGTCAAAGGTTTTCACAGTACGAGTTTATCTAACGCTTACTAAGGAATGCAACCTTATACAACTGTTAAAAAGGACGTAATTTAACCACAATATTAAATTTAAATTTTTCTCGTAATTGAGGAATTGTGGTATTTTTCTTATTTTGTGTGCTTGTCTCTAGAAATTCTGCAGATAACCGAAGATTTGTGCCATAAACTAAATCGCCTGAAGAAATCCCTATATCCATTTTCACAGCGCTACGTATACCCAATAAAATTAATGGTAACGTTTTGACCCAGTCCTCATCTTCATAGCAACGAGTAGCAGCTTTCATTTGACGATGGAAACGCTAAATTGTTCGTTCGTTTTCCGAATATGTTTGTATAAGGAGCTATACACTTACAAGCTTGTCTTCGAACCTGTGATGTTAGTGATGATATTAACACCAACCTTTTCCTTTATTTTAGAAATAGCGATTAGTTGGCTAACTGCGACTTCTAGGTTTCTGAGCATCTTTTTCAGGTCGGGCTGGACTACAACCTCTTTTTAATTCAAAAACACCAGACACTCGTTCCATCCATAACTCTTTTAGAAATTTCGATTTTTTTATTCGTTTCCTTTAAAGGCTTTAAACCTAAAAAGTGAGGTTACATGATCCTTATAAAGTATTTTCTCTTAATATACGTACCTTTACAAAATGTTGCACGTGCAAAGGCCTTTGTAAAGAAATTTAAACTGTTATTTTGGATTACCCGGTATTTATTGTATGCAGAAGGGTTTTGAACTATGTCTTCTTTTTCAAGTACGAACTTCTGATCCAAATTAGCGATTACCTGATAGTATTTAGTATTGTCTAATGTAATGTGAGATAAATCAAACTACGCTTCTAACAACAAAAACCAAAGCAGTGGTTTTTCATACCAAAAGAGCGCACCTTAATTGTAACACGAGCTACATCGTTATTATTTTGTTCTCCTTCCAATGATTGATTTATAATTGCTCCTCCTTCCAATGTCGGGGTCACCAATTGTAGGTTATTAAATTTTACCCAAAATCGTCATTAAACCTTCATTTTCATGCCTACTTTATGTCAGTAAAGTTTAGTTTCCATGGCAGAGGCAGACCAGACTGCTGTTCCTGCCGTCTGTCACTTTATCGGCCGCACCTGTCACTTTTCCGGCCGCACCTGTCACATTGACTCCTGTCATCACTGACAGATTGAAATGTTCTATATGAAAATTGAAATTTTATATTAAAATACGATTTCGGGTAAAATTTCATACAAAACTCGTCAGTAAAATGACATTACTTAACTCGGAAATTACAGTACTCGGTGCCCAAGGGACCTTGTACTTCAATATTTCCTTGTCAGTAATGTGTCATTTTCCTGACTTTTATTTAAATAACTATTAGGTACGTTACTAAATAACAACTTTATTTGGGGATGATTGCAAATTGAGTAATACACAACAAATTTCTTGTTATAATTTCAGTTCCTAAAGAACCCTCACAAAGCACATTAAATTCCCCATACACCTGCAATTATTCACAAAATTTCTTTGGGAACGCACTTCCAAAGCTTGACACATTTTACGGCTTCAAAAATTCTAATTTACTTATTTCTGCGAGGAAAATCGATGAAGTTTGCTCTCGTTATAACATGGAGCCATTGCTTCATCATTTAGTTGCAAGATTTGCAAGGTTTTCCTTATGTTACTTGAATGCGTTTCTATTTGATTAAATAAAAATAACCCAGGTAGCACAAATAATTAGCTTTCGCATGGCGCTACATTGGCCCAATATTTGAAAATTGAATCAATATAGACAATATATTTTCATTCATCATTTAAAATATGCAACTTGGATTTTTCATTAAACTGATACTATGAATAACCATGGCTCTAATTATTTGCGCACCGTTGCTTTTTTGGTGAGTCCAGTATCTTTATACAATGTTGGCGCAATGTTGTACGTTATATGGACTCAATATTGATGTTCACGTTGTTCCAATATTGGGGATTACATTGGCGCAACATAAATTGCTATGTTGGTCCAATATTCTTTTCCACATAAGCCCAACATTTCCAAGCGTTCACATTTTATGTAGGACCAATGTCGATCGCCAATACTGCACCAATACCATTAATACCAGTATGTGAACCTGGGCAACATTCTGTGCTGCTTGAGAAGCATTCCATGTTAACATTAAATTCTTCGAATGCTGTTTTTTTATACAGGTACATACTATGCCAAGACAATCTTAAAAAATATAACTGTTACAAAAGCAAGATAGTGGTACCCGTTAAGCTTCATGGGTGAGCTATCGCAGTAAATACAAGGGGTTGAAGAAACAATGTTAGATTTTTCATTCGTACTGAGACATAAGTGGAAAGCCTTCAAGGCTTCACAATGAATTATATTAGGTGCCACAGGGTAGAGCCCAATGTTAAAAGTAACAATAAGTTAAACGTCAGGTGACCTGCGTGAAGTGGAGGTGAGTGCCCTTAACGAAAAACTATTTAACCCATCTATTTCAATTAATACAATTTGTTGGATCATATACTACAAAAGGTTTAAATGACTTCAGTAAGGCTATACTATAGCAGGAGCAAAACCATATGAGTGTAATATAATTAAAAGAATGACAATTGGGGGAACCTATGGAACAAATATGGCGCTTAACAAATTTTCTACGAATGGACAAAACAGCATTTCGGAAGGAAAAACGAACAAAGAGATA